TAGGGCTCAGGCCTTATAGGGTTCAGGGTTTAGGAGTTTAGGGCTTAGGGCTTACAGGGTTTAGGGGTTTTGGGGTTTATACGGGTTTAGGATTTAGTGTTTAGGGTTCAAGATTTACATTTACGAGCCCCCCCACCCCCACCCGCACACCCTCCGCCCCACCCTTGCCCCTCCAAAACCAAGACTGATCGTTTTGGGGCCCTAAACCCTAAACCCTAAACCCTAAACCCCATGCCCAGGCGAGTCTTCTCCTTTGCGCAGGGAGACACGCGCCAGAAGTGGAGATCCGAGCCATTCCAGCGGCCCAGCCGATTTGAGCCTCCCTTACCACTTAGGGTGTAGGGTTTAGGGTTTAGGGTGTAGGGTTTAGGGTTTAGGGTCCCTTAATTTGTGTAATATTGGGGCCTATAGATAATTACCAATGCTATTTTTGGGGGTTCCTTCATTTCGACTTATGGTATTAAAAAACCCCAAACCCCTATTCGAATCATTAAGGCCCCCATATTAAAGGTTTAGAGTTTAGGGTTTGGGGTTCTATAAGTTTCTATAAGGGTTTTGCAGCTGTCGAAGGGTTTATGTTGTATGGGGTGTGCGGTTTTGGGGTGTTCAAGCCTTGGTGGATGTTGAGGTTTGGGGTTAAGGGCTGCGGGGCTTTACGCCGGATGTCATGCGAACGCTGCGATCGAATGCCAGGGAAAGCGAAGGAGTACCAATTGATAGCGGACTGTATGGCTTTAAGTTTGCTGCAATGGCTACAAGGTGACGCGGTAAGGACTCTATAACGGTTCGACCTATAGGGCTTTATAAGGCATTCACGTTTTTGGGTTCCGGAGGGGTTCCGGGCTTTTAAGATTTTTTCAGTTTCGGTCGTTAAGGGCTTTCGGGGCGCACGGCGACTTCAGGTTCACAGCTGGTTAGTGCTTGGGAATTAAGGGTTTAGGGGTTTAGGGTCAAGGGGTTTAAAGTTCAGGGTCTAGGTTTTGGAATTTGCAGTTTATGCTTGCTCAAACCCTAAACCCTAAACCCTGAACCCTAGTGAGGTGAGTGTAGAGGGCTGGGAGGAGTTTGGTCAAGTAGAGCTTCAGATCACTGTACATCGGCCTTTGCTTCGCGAACCATGAAGCCTAACCTAAACCCTGGTTGGTAAACAAGGACCCTGCCTGTAATGGCCTTAATATTAGGATTCCCTGTCTAAACCTCATTAGAGAAGGGGGGGGTTCTTAATCAGGGGTCGACATTCGTTTAAATCTGTTGATTTATATCCTTCTTTGGTCCATCTTTCATTTGTCTACAGCACGCAGTGTAACCCTATCGTAGCCATTATAAGCAACTTGCATTGTGTAAGCCAAGTTTATCATGGGTTCCCGGCAACAGCCTACTCTGTAGGTCCCGTTTTTAGCCAGCTCCGGTGAAAGTCAACCCTAAACCGTTAAGCTTCCCCGCAATGAGCAGTTACCAATAGTTCTTAGGGTTTACAGTTTAGGGTTTAGGCGCATGGTTTTATCAGCGTTTAAGTATATGTCTTATACCCCAGACCCTCATTCGAATTAAGTACTAGGCCAAGCTTGAACCCCTCGGCTCAGGATGTGCACGTGCCCTGCCTGGATTGGATTTGGCTCGTTGCCTTTAGCACTTGGTGGATCGGGGTTTAGGTTTCAGGAGTTTAGGGTTTAGGGTTTAGGGGTTTAAAGTATTAGGTTTAGGTTTAGGGTGATGACAGTTCGGGTTTAGGCTAGGATTCAGGTTTTAGGCGCTTGAGGCTCAGAAGCAAAGAGTGTAATGATGATACTTTGTGAGCTGGCCAATGAAACCAAACCCTTAAACCCAAGCCCTAAATGCCCAAGCCCTACAGACAGCACGAGTTCCAACACTAAACACTACTGGGGTTTATAGGCCTTTAGGCCTCTAGGGTATAGAAGATTTGGCATTACAGGGCTTGGTTAGGTACTTCAGTCGCAGTTTGTCGCAGAAAGCTGTTTAGGCGTGCTTTTGAAGGTATTTCAATTTCCTTTCTCAAATAGCGCTCCGAGCTTCGATTGTTATGTTGTTGGCTTTGGCATTGAAGACTTTGGGCGAAGTTCGGGCTAGAGAATGAGGGTGGGAGGTCTTGTGGCTGCGATTGTAGGATTCAGGCATTGGGGCTGTACTTGGAGGCCCAGGGGACTTAGTAAGTCGGTTATAAGTAGGGTTATAATTGGGGTAACTCCAGTTAGGGGACATATAACTCTACTTGTAAGCTACTTACTGAGTCCCCTGGGCCTCCAAGTTGTTTCTCAGGGACTTGAATCAAGCGTGGATCTGGCGCTGGCGGCGTTGACAGGGCTTCGATTGTTCGTTGCCCAAGGGCACCGCTACTTGGAGGTTCATGGGTAGTTACAAGTAGGGTTATAAGTCCCCCTAATATGGGTTGTAAGTATAGTTATCCTACTGATAACCCTACTTCTTACTACCTATGAACCTTCAAATGTTTTCGTTCACACAGGTCATGGGTGGTCCGAAGCCTTAAACCCTACCTTAGGCCTGAAGGGCCTACGCTTCTATGGGTCTTCCAGAATAACGCATATCTGATTCCGAAAGTTAGGGTTTACACCTAAAGGTGCGTATTTTCAGAGAGACCTATGTTTCCGAGGATGCAGATTCTGATTGATCATAAACACCCATGATTCGGAAGTGTTGAGCTGTGCATTGGGACGAAACATCTTTCGAGAGCCATCTTTTGCTCTCGTGGGAGCATCTCCTGAGCCTCTGGGGACGGCTCAGCGGGCCAGGCACTCATATGAAGAGTTGAGCATGTATGCTATGTGTGATTATGTCGTCAAGCAAGACCGATTGTTGCAGCCTTGTGCGTGCTCGTTGCTTAGAACTTTTGGCTTTGCAGTGCTCCCGAAGGGGGCTTCACACGTAGGTGCTTGGAAAGATGCCTTCGTTGCGAGGGCTTGCGGAGATGTGGGAGCAAGTGGCCTCCATTCGGGCACGTGTTCGTAGGGTCGGGTCTGTTTTCGATCGGACCGATGGACTCCCGCACGCCAACGTGAAGCAGTGTGGGAACTACCAGGACGTGCTTGAGCCGTTGGTCAAGGCCATCTTGACGTGGCCACGAAATTCCGCTGGCAAGCTCCAGATGTGCAGTGTCTTCCAAACTGAGACTGAGCGACTGAGTTGCATAGTTCCAAGGCAGGCATGGAGGCTGCATGTTCGGTGCTGTGGTCATGCATATAACAGTAACTCGATGGCAACCTAGGCTTGCCAAGCTGTACCGGATTTGCAAAGTGCAGACGGATCCCAAGCAAGTGAAAGCAGAAGCCTGGCTCTGCAAGAAGTTTGTGGTCCTCCTCAAGAGGAAGAAGCAGCGGGGCCAAATTCCCCGCTCCGAGCCTTTCCGGCAGCTCCTGGAATTCATCCCCGGCCAGGATAGATCACACCTCTTTTGTTATCACACTTAAAGATTGTTTGTTTGCATGTGGTGGCTGGTTATTGTTGCTTGGATTCCGCAGGATGACGATGATAATGATGGTGATCACCCGAGTGCTGCGGATGCATCGGATGCAGGTGACTCGGATTAATGGCTTATAGCTTCTCATCAGATGTTGCCGTCAGTTGCATGGTTTCTTGAGTTGCTATATATGTTCTGCATGGTTAAACCGTTGATGGACAGGTTCCACGGAAGATGAAACATCCTTGCACGACAGCGATGTGGAGCTGTTGTCCAGTGATGAGGACAATGATGCTGACAAGGATGGCAGTGCCTTCGCTGAGACGCAGGTGGACACGCAGGTGGATGATGCCTGTGTGCTTGTTGAGGAGTCCATCACAGTGGAGGGCGAGGCCGAGGTGGCTGCAGGGCCTTCCACTCCTATGGAAGTGGAATCTGAGGCCGTTGCCGGAGATGTTGAGCCCCCTCCGGTGGCTCCAGAAGGTTCCAGGCGACTACACCGCCAAGTCAAGAAGCACGACTTCGACGAGGAAGTCATGGATGTGGATGAGATGGACCAGCAGGTTTGTGATGCATGCGAACGAAAGCTGTCCAAATGCCACTGCTTGCAGCTTCGCCAGTTGAAGCAGACGATCGCTACGATGAAGGGCCTTCAAGCAGCGAGAAAAAGGACTGGAGTTGAAACTTCATTTGATAGGTTCCTTCAGTGCAATACACCGATGACAATCTCCGTTTGGGTTGCTCGGTGCCACTGGGTTTTGATTCTGTGCATGCAGGAGCCAACTGATGAGGGCCACCAAAGG